TCTAAATACGTAAAGGATAATATCAACCAAAATCAATCTTAAAAGTGACTATTAAAAAATATTATGTAATTCTGATAATAGTTCTTTTTAATAACTTTCTTTTTAAAATAAAAATCTAATTATATTTTATAATCAATTAAAATCTATTAACATGGCTCTTACCATGTTACTTAATAAATCATATATCAAACATATAAATATAATATTTTTACATGATAGCCAAACCACAATACGATAGTGATTATCATGGTAGAATCTATCTTTAGAATCTTCTAAAAAAGTCGTTATCTTGGTAGGATCTACCATTAAGGATATTCTAAAAAGTTCTAAGATAATTGAATAAAGTATAAATACAACCAATTGAGGCCATTTTGGCATTTAATCAAGCATGGCTTTAGATTTTTTTTTAAAAAAAATTTTTGGTTTTCTTCTTCTATTTTATTTAGTGTTATTTGGTTTTGTTTGGTTCTATTTTCTTTTATTTAGTCTTAACTTTCATATTCTATTTTGTTTAATTACTTTTAGTTTTGCTCTGATGTGCTTAATCTTACGTTGTGTCAAGAACTTTGTTGTTATAAACTTGATATGGTTTTAGACTTTAGAAAATCTACTCTTGTTTCATCTTAGGCATATTAATCCTTATCTTTGTCATACATGTAGAAGCAAAATTTCAATGATTTGGTTGTGAGATTAATCTACTTGCTTCCTTCAACTATACAACCTCTTAACGTAGATTTTGAACTTCTTTCATATGCATAAGATTAGTGTTTTTGTGGTTAATGCTAGTATTGTGCAAAATTTCTATTACAAGAGTGTTGATAAATTAGTGCAGATTTGTAATAGTTACAAATCTATTCTTACTTCTGTCAAGTATAGCATCTATGATTTTTTTTTTACTTCAAATAATTTAATAAATTCATAATTCAAATTAATTAAGAATGTTTTGAAATCTCTAATGTCAAATAATTTTTTTTTTCAAAGAAGAGTAATTTATAAAATTTAAGAAACAAATCAATGTTAGAAAATTAAATAGTTTGTTTAAAGGTGGATAATTCACAACCTTCACTACAATAAAAATAAAATAATCTATTCACTTCTAAAACAAGACAAGAAAAATTAGTTAGGACTCTTTTCAAATTGTCAAGGACATAAGTCTAAAAGAAAAAAAAATCTCAACACACTCTTGTGTCATTTGGAAAGACTAAGAAATCCCTCAAAGATGGTAATATATTGAACTAGAATGGCTATTACCTAAGACAATCTAAGATCTAGAAAGATGTTGATAAGAATAAAGAAGGTTTCATTCTTACTTCTATATATACTCTCTAATTAGAAGCTACATCATGATATTCTATAGCACTTCTAACACGTGTTGACTTTGTTAGACACCTGATTTAACTTACAAGTCAAGTTATCTATATGTAAGCCACATAGTTAGCTTGTTCCACAAGCTACTAACATATATATTATATGGCTAACTTATTGACCAAGGTTTTAGCCTAATAATTAACTACAAACATGTGTAAAGACAAATTAGTATCTATGAAGCTTCTAAGTAGTTTTTCTAGAAGATATTCTGAAATTTATTTATTTTTATTTATTTTTATTTAATCATATAGGTAATTATTAGAATAAATATGCATATCTGTAATACTAAGTCAAACTTAGCAAATATCAATGTTTTTTTTTTTTTCACACAAATATACATTCACTACAAAGATTTAATTATAATCTTTATTAATATTGTAGATTTTAAGTTAGATTCTTGAACATATTATTATATTTATTGTAAATCATAAACAAATACTACAATTGACTTAGTGCAATTGTATTGATGCATGTAACATCAATAATTTTTTTATTCTAAAGAGAGGTTTATTAGATGGAGTAAAAATAATTATTGTTTAAAAATAATTATAAGAAAGAAGCTAGAAAGATATATCTTATTCTTATTGGAAATTTAAAATATTAGTAAAAGTCTACAATAGTATCTAATTGGCTTAAGAAAAAATCTTATATACTTCACCAAACACAAAAGAAAAAGAAAAAGAAAAAAAAAAAAAAAAAAAAAAAAAAAAAATGATTATATTTTGATGATCACCAATTTTTTAAGAATGATATTATATATACATCAAGACCATCAATAATTTAGATTTGGTAATAATAGATTACTTTTTTATATTTACAAATCTTATTGTATATATAAATTAGCAAATATAAATATTTTAGTGTTTTTTAATATTATAAGTTATAAAAATCTTCTAATATTAATCAAGAATCTATTAGAATTTTATAGCATAGATAATTATTGGAATCTATAGTAAAAAAAAAAAAAAAAAAAAAAAAAAAAAACTTTTGTGGCAATATCAAATTTAGAGTAATATTTTTTCAAGTAATTTATAAATAAAAATAATACAAGTAACTATTGCCCATATATTATTTTAGGATATTTTCTAACTTTGAAATCTTTTTTTTTAAACTTTAAGCTTGTATAGACTATTACAATGGCATATCAAAGCATTAAAATTTTTTTACTCTTCTTGATCAAATCTTGAAATATAATAATAGTTATATTAATGGATAAGCATCATTTAATATTTCTTTAAAAAATTAGATATGGAATCTAAATTAGGTTATATTATAGAAATATGAATTAGATAAGAATAGTAACATAGTGGTATTTTTTGAAATTATATATATATATATGGTACAAATATATGGCAAATTAAAGCCTACTTTGCAAATAATTTATTATAGTTATATTTGTATTAGCAATGTTGACATCAATCACATAGATTAAATTTAAAATAATTAAAAATATATAAAAAAATTATATTAAGTTAAAAAAATAAATAAATAATAGAATTTTTATATAAAATAAAAATAATAATAAAACACATGCTTCCATGATAAGTAATATAATAACAACCATGACTATGTATCCTTACTTTGCAACAAATGTCTACATATTTTTTATCAACTAGCACACCTATTGGCCATATTTTTTTCTATTAATATTATATTTTTGTCTTTTTTAATTTCTCTAAGTTCATAATATGGTTTAAGATTTTATTGAAAGTTGGAATTAAATATTCTAATCATAGAATTAAATAAATTCAAATGAAATTATTTTGATTAACAACTAAAAATAATTGTTAATATTAAATTATCCAATCAATCAACTTTGTATATATCATATTTAGCATCTTTGTATTTCATAAAAAGTATCTTTTGAGTTTAATAATTTTTTTATAAGTATGATATGTAATATTCTACTTTAATATACATCTCAAAAAAATATTTAAAATTAATTTTAGAATATATGTTTTTAATTATTTTATTAATCTTAATTTAAATCTATAGACATTGCATAATCCACAAAGCAATTTTTAATCATACATGATTGTCATAGATATATCTAATTACCTTAATAAGAACTGATAGGCAAAAAATAAATGTAAGTAAATTTGATAATATCTCATAGAAAAGCTTCTTAGAAGCTTTATAGATGCATATTTGACTTTATACATGTTTATAGTTAATTGGTAGGTTGGAAACTTGGCCAACAAGTTGGCTACATGTCACACATGTTAGAAACTTATGATACAAATTGGTAGACAATAAAATCTTATAAATTATTAATATTTTATTTATTTATTTATTTATTTATTATTTTATTTGAAATTTTGTTGGATAGCCTACTCTATTATCTTTGAATTATCTTTGAATCCAAATATAATCTTGTCATAAATTAATTTTGTAACATTTCTTTTAAAACTAATGTTTGTTTTTATAAAAAGTATTGGCTTCATGAATTGTAAGAATGAACTTAAGAAAAAATAAAAATTTCAAATAATTTTTAAAGTATAATAATGTCTAGTTTAAATTGTTGCAACTCAATTCAAATCATTCTTTTCATATTGCTAAATTTATTGAATAAATTAGAAATAGATTTGATTTAAATCAATTTTTTCACATTGCCAAATTGATTGATTTAGTTTAAAACAAGCTAGATTCAAATTATTTCAACACACACACACACACACGTATATATATATTCTTTTCCTATTTGAAATATTTTTTGTTATTGATTCTCTAATTATTATACTAAATATCCAAAAATATGTATATATTTTTTATATTAAAAAAAATGTTTAAACGTTAACATATGCTTGGAGAATATTTCTATGAAGTTGTATAAGAAACAATAATTAGAGCATAGATCTATTTGTATTAATAAATTAAAATACATATAATTTTTATTTTAATTAAACCCCATTAACATTATTCAAAATAATAATGTAAAGCTAATAAAATTCAAAGTCAATTCAACAACAATTTTTTTTTTTGAAAGATTATGATTATAATAAAATCATTCTACTTATGTTATGATAGATTTTAATATAAATAATAATAACCATAGATAAAGATTTAAATTAATTCTAATACTTTTAAAATTTTAATGTTGTTTTTAAGCAAACTGTAGTCAATAATTGATTATCCTCAAATCAAATATAAGAAAAAACTTAGTGCTTTAAAACCCTTTGATGCTAGAAGTGTCTACTCTTAAATTCAAAGTAATAAGAACTTAGGATCCTATGATATATCATATGTAGGTAAAAACACAAATCAAAGTTTTACATGAATTTGGCACATAGTCCGGAAAAGATATTGGACGGAATTACATGTTGCATTTTATGTCTTTTATTTTAAAATCTGATTGGTACAGTCATAATTAGAATTTATTTTCAAAATTTTAAATAATACAATTGCAATGTTCCCTATATTTTAGTTTTTATAATCAAAGAAATTATAATAAATGATGTAGAATCATGATAGTCAAGCTTGTCTATTAAATAAAATATGGAAATTTAACTTATATTAAATCAAATAATTAGACATAATTGGTTTTTACTACTAAACCAAAGATCAAATCCAACTGGCAATTTATAAAAATAATTGTTACAAAAGACATTATTCAAACATGCCTGAGATAAATGGAAAGAATGTAGTGTTATGAGACTGTGAAATCAGATGTAATTATACAAGCTTTGCTTTCAAAAGTGAGCTATCAAAGATCATCAAATGATATGGTCAATTATCCCCTTCTTTCTATATACATTGCTTCAGCATGTCCAGAACAAAAGACGCCTAAACCCATGTACTCAGTACTACTGTATCTAATCCGGTCATTGGACCAAAATTTGGACCCAGACGCTGCAAACCAGATGCATTGTCTGATTCCAGCTGGACTTCAGATTAGATTGGCTTCTAGAGATGCTGAGGTGACAAGATGTCAAACCAGTTTGTGTTAGTCCGAGCCTACAAAATAAATGTTGTAGATCTTGATCCTTCCAAAGACCATGGCCAGAGCATCAATCACAATGTCAGTGTGTAAAAGAAGTTGGAGGGAGTCAAATCGTTCAAAATGGTACAAGGCAAACAAATTGGTGAATCAGGCGGAAGTCCCCTCGGAGTGTGTTCGAGGGGACTGGAATCGCTCATCCGGGCGAAGCTCCGCAAGAGATCGAATGATTTCGTCCATATCAGGCCGTTCTGATGGAGCAGGAGACACACATCGCATGGCTAATTGCAGTGCCGTCATTAGCTCCTCCTCAGTAGGTGCTGCAGCACCTTTCATCAACTCTAGATCAAAAACCTCTGCGGTCCAATTCTCCTTCACTATACCCGCCACATAGTCAGGTAAATCAATGGCTCCGTCAGTAGTGCTCACGTCTTGAGGTGCCTTCCCTGTTCATATCAAAGACAAAATAGAACCAATCAGATCAGAAGAAAAGAAAAGGATAGTAGAGTTGAGTGAGCCGCTCCCCAGAATTCCTAAGGAAACTACTGACCGGAACAAGAAGTTACCAGTAAGAAGCTCCAGCAGGACAATTCCAAAACTATAAACATCAGACTTTGTTGTCGCTTTCTTGAGTTTGGTCAGCTCAGGGGCACGGTAGCCAAGTGACCCGGCAGTGGCCACCACATTGGCGTTCGCCGCAGGAGTCATCAGCCGTGAAAGGCCAAAATCTGATATGCTGGCAGTAATTAAGGAGCCCCTCGTATCAAGAAGGATATTAGAAGCAGTGAGATTTCCATGGACAATGTTCTCGTTCTGGTGCAGGTGGACAAGTCCCCGAGCGGCTCCTTGAGAGACTCTAATTCTTGTAGCCCAATCTAAGGCTGTTTCTGGTCCCCTAGCTGTAAACATCCCATGGCACTGTCAGCTGTCATGTAGAACTGCTCTCAGGATTGATAGGCCGACCATGCATCACAAGTAAACTAGCAACCGAAATACAGTTTCCGCACAAGCTCAGAGGTGAAATGTAAGCTACACGTAGTGATACACAAACTTCCAAGTTCAACCACGTACCGTGAAGAAAGGCAGCTAGGCTTCCACCGGGCATGTAGTCATAGACCAGGAGCTTCTCGTCCTTTGGACCCCAGTAATATGCCCTCAAAGCAAGTAAATTAGGATGCCTGATCTTGCCAAGGACATCAACCTCTTTGGTAAAATCTTTCTGGGACTTCACGATGCCCTCCCGCAACCGCTTCACCGCAATATGGCTGCCATTCTCTAATGTGGCCTTGTACACAGTTCCGTATGTGCTCTTGCCCAAAACTTCCGCTGTGGCACACAAAAGATCATCTGCGGTGAATTGAATCGGTCCCTCGAAGTGGACCAGCTTGCCCCCCACTTCACCCTCCCATTCAGGAGACCTCTCCGGCTTATCCCTGCCCCCGTCCGCTGCCCGACCACGTCTACAACAGCAGCACAGCAAGATAATAGCCACCACTAACAGAATGGTAGCTAATGTGCCACCCAATGCTATAAAGACAATGCTCTGGATGCTTAGTGTTTTTCTATGAGAGGCAGTTTCTTCTGCAGTGGTGGGCCCTGTTGCAGGACCCGCGACAGGACACGCTAGGATGCCTGGAAATCCACACAGCCCTTCGTTCCCCGGACTGAAGGAGGTGATGTTGAAAGCCGTAGTAAATGCAGGAATAGGGCCACTAAGATTATTGTAAGTAACATTCAAAGAAGTGAGCGGCAAACCCCCGAAGCCAGGAGGAAATTGACCACTCAAGTTGTTCGACCGCAAGTCGAGAGATTCTAGGGCAGTAAGTCTCGCGTAAGACGCAGGTATGCTACCAGACAAGCCATTAGTTGCAACACTCAAAGCCTTTAAGGTAAGCACGTTTCCTAACTGCTCTGGGAGAGATCCGGTAAGCTGATTGTTGTTTACGTGCAATTCCAATAACCTTGCCGACGTCCATACACTAGGTAAAGGCCCAGTGAGACTGTTAGACCCTATATCCAGATACTGGCCTCGAAATGCTCCATAATCGGAAGGTACAGTGCCAGTAAAATTGTTCCCACTAAGATTGAGGATGTTGAGACTAGGCGAGCTCGCTATTTCCGCAGGAACAGCACCGGAGAGGTCATTGTTGGCAACATCAAAAGCTTGTAGAAGTGGCAATTTCCCAAATCCTGTGGGCAAGGGACCTGTTAATCTGTTATTGAATAAGGCAACACCCCGCAACGTCGTGATAGTGGCCAATGAGGCCGGTATGGTGCCAGTGATGACATTGTCATGGACATTGAGCTTCCGAAGACCTACAAGGTTTCCAACTTCAGGTGCGAGGGAACCACCCAGCCGCTTCGCTGGAAGCGCGATGGAAATGATGCGCCCTTGCGCACATTTGATGCCTGCCCAAGTGCCATCGCATGCTCCCATTCCACTCTCGTTCCAGCTCGCCAAGGCATAGCGAGGGTCAACCAAAGTGCGCTTGATCCTGAGCAAGGCCAAGACCTCCTGAGGAGATGCCGGTATCCCATCTGTAGCCGGTAGAGTGTCTGGATCTTGTGATGCAACCATGTGGTTGTGCAGCAAGAAGAAAGCGATCCACAAACCCGCGTGCCTGTCCCATCTCTTCTGCTGCTTGAAAGACAACATTCTGGCTTACTACATTAAGTTAAGTAGCTTTAACACGTAAAATTGTCTAACAAAAACATGTTCCTTATTCAGCGTAGCTTCTTAAGCGGGTAGCTGGTCCACCCTTAAGTACTTCAGTTCTTCTCCATGAGCACTGGCAGTAGCGATGTCAATTTTGAAGCACATGCATGAGCAACACAAACAGCAGAGCTGGTATACGACGATACCAACTTGCCCAAATTCTACACTACTGAGAAAATTGCAATTTCCAAGCATTGAACTAGACAAGAAAGGCTAAGTCCTTTCTCCACACTCGTAGATGTTGTTGAGTACATAAACTCACAATGCGAGCGAGGTATCTATGATGGAGGCAAGAGGAATAAGTTGAAACTAGTAGTAGAACAGCAACACCAACTGCAACTCGCTCAGATGCACAGGACAGCACTACCCTAAACCACACGGACAAATTACAGCTAAATTCACGAGTGCCGCCCTCGCTTATAGCCACTAAGAAATAAAAAAATAAACAGAAAAACAAAATACAATCAGCCACTCCCAGAGACTGCAAAAATCTACTCTACATACACGGCAGCGGAATCCAACCCTCTCATCTCAAAATCGTCTTAAACCTCTAAACCAACCAACGGTAAAAACCCAAATCCTCCCACGCTGCACTTAGAGCAGATCAACTACCACTAGGAGGGGTTAACTCAAGAGCAACGGTTAGAGAAACCAAAATCAAACCATGGCTTTTTTTTCCAAAATCCACGAAGGTAATCTAAGGGGAACGAAGCTCTGGCAGAGATGCTCTGCACATACACCCGGGGTACTCAACCCGGCGCTTCACAAAATGGTGCTTGGCTCTCTCCGACACACTCTTGCAGCCCCTGACGTTCAACGGCACAAAACCCGATGGGACCAGAGGAGGCGCGAAAACTAGAGAGGGCTGCAGGCAGCTGCTACCAAGTGAACGAACTGAGCAAGGCAGGAGCAGGATCGGCAATACCACCACCAGCAGCAGTAGCGACAGGGCCCCCAAAAAAAAGACAACTGCCTGATGACACGACCTCAGCTGCGAGCTTCATCGAGTGCTGCTGCTGCTGCAACGGACGGATCAGTGACTCCATCAGGGTGGTCATCACCTCCATTGCGGCCATCCCCTCCCCCTGATGGCCACAACGGCAACGGGCCGCGCCAGTCCTTCCTTTCTTCCTTCATCGCCATGCATGCGACGAGGGGAGGCTCTCTCTGTGCCCTCCTGGAGAGCTCCCTCCGTTTCTTCCTCCGTCCGTCCGTCCGCCCCTTCGTTCGTCCGTATCTCCCTCCTTCATCGCGTCCGTCCGTTCTCTTGACGTCGTTCCCTTCTTCCATGTTCTCCTAGCCACCCTCTGGAACATTCCATCCTCTTTTAGTTTTTGGTTCCGTTTTCTCAAATCCTTTTTTCATCCTCCTTCATCCAATTCGACTTTTGAGTTTGGAAAGTCTTATTAAACCTTTGAGCATTTGTATATCTAATAAAAAATCATGGCTTCTCACTTTAAAAACTTAATGACCATTTTTTTATCCCAATTGTAACCATTTTCATGTGCATGGAAAGAGTCTTAAGCAAACCACTAAAAGTGGGGTTTCAAAGCAATTTAATTTGCTATTCTTTGCACATGCATCTAATGCAGTTTTGAAGAGTATTTTCAAAGCAACGATTCAGAAGCAGAATGAACTCTGTCAATTTCTGTATGTGCCCTCAAAGTAATTATGTAATATGCTTGCTTGCAGAGCAGCCACACTGCACATTCACTTTGATGGTTTTAATCACAGGTAGAGTGCACAGAAAGAAAGAAAGAAAGAAAGAAAGAAAGACATATATACAGATATATATATATATATAACTAAGTTTGTAATAATCTTCCAATGCAATGTAATAATCTTGCAATGCAACAATGGAATGGAAAAGTGATAAAATTTTACAAAAATAGAAGAAGTGTGTAAAAGAAATTATATCTTGTTATCGATAACCCTGAAAAAATTATAAATTAAATATTAACTTAAATTTAATAAATTCAGTGTCAACTTTTGGGAGATGGTTTAGCCGATTTGGGTATTGCTATTAATATTTGATGATTTTAATTTGTTTGGAAGGCAATTTTTCCTATCAAATATGTTGTGTGCTACACGAATTTTGAAACTGATTTTGTACATATTATACATAAAAAAGTTCTACATAAATAAATAATATTATTATTAAAAATAAATTAATATTAGAATGACGAAAAATTAATGTTAATACAAGATTTTGAGGTCGTGATAATACCAAGTTTAATTAAATCACATAATAAAGATTTAGAGTCTCAAGAATTTAGGCATGAGGACAACTTCTCATTAAGCCCTAAACTAAATATTGTTTGAAATATGAAATCATGATTTTAAATATCGTTTGAAATATGAAATCATGATTTTAAATGTCGTTTGAAATATGAAATAAGAAATATGAAATTATAATTAGAATACGAAAGCATATAAATTATTATAATATCGTTCATAAATGTCAACTAATATCACATTTAAAACACTTTCAGTATAATATCTTAATATTTTATAAACTGTAATATGTAATTTTTTTTCAAGTACGTATTCTAGTTCTATCATGAAAATCTCAGAAATCGATTATAATTAATGATGAGTTTTTTCCTTCTGAGAATATTCAGTCTTTGCAATGACTTTTTAAATTCCGAAAATTCGTTTATTTTAATTGAGACTCAAATTTCAAGAATACTGATATCTTAAACTTCCCAAAAAAAACCAGTGATTATACTTAGTTCTGTTAATTGGTTTTTATATTTATTTTATTTTGGTACTATTGTAATTTTACTAATTTTTAATTGGAATTATAGTTTTTAAGAAACCAAGTTTAATACATAATTTTACTGGTAGAAATCTTATTTTTATTGTTTATGGTATTCTTGTCATTATACTATTGTTTATAAAGATTCTCTCTAGAGTTCCTTCATCTAAATATAAAAAATAGTTTTAAATACTCTTAATCTTCTCATAAATTTGATAATACAAAGATAATTTTTATCTTTTATACAAAATGTTTCAATATACCTCAAAGTTAATTTTATAATATTTTACGTACTAAAAACTTACTTAAAGTTTCGTATATGTGCAAAATCTCAGTAATTCCATTACGATTAAAAAGATCACTACAAATTCTACAAATTCTTTATAATTGTACTTATTTACAGTCTATGAATTTCCAAATTATTATTAGTTTTCTTGTTTTATTATAGGTTATCCAATATTACTTTTTTATGACAGTTTATTATTCTATATATGAACATTTGATTTTATATTTATTTCCTAATTTTTTATTATAATTAATACACTATATATTAAAATAATATTATTCTTTCTTTAACATTGAAATTTAAGTATTGAATAAGTTATAAAGATTTGAGGCTTCTTTTTTTTTTTTTATCAGATAAGAGATATATTTATTTATATTTGAAAATTTCTCCACTTTTTCTTACAATTTATGAATTTTTATTCAATAACTTAATCTTTTTTTGAAAGACCATCCAATTAATGAAGGTCCAAGACATCCTCTTTGTATTGAGGTCTTAAAGACATTCAATTTCAAAATCATTAGACTTACATGTTATGAGATATAATTAGATAAGATACCTAATTAATTTTTGAACTAATTTAAATTTAAAAAATTAAAGACTGAATCTAAACTTTAAAAGATTATTTTGAATTTATGAATTAATATTTTATATGTTATTTATTGATCACATAAAAACCCAAGCTAGATTATCATTTGTGCTATTTTTAACTTTTTGATTTTTTATATTTAAGATTAAAACTTAGATTTAGTAGAAAAATTGGATAACATCTGTGGTTGATTATGGAGGAAAAATGACCATAAATAACTTTTAGAATCCAAAATAATTTCCACAATCATAAGTTTGTAATGTTTTAATTTGAAACACATGATTTTTTCATAGCAACAGCATGGATCTGATACAAAACGCATCAAATGCATAAAAAACATTGTGTACGTTTTATTTTTTGTTGTAAAAGTAGAACTTGTGAATAGTGTTCTTGTTTGATGCTATCCTTAACCAAAGGCTTTGAATTTTTTACATAAAGAAATAATAATATGAGGTCAATATTTTGTTCATTTCATAGTGAGACAGCATATTCTTCCATGTATCAAAATCTCAAAAAATAAAAATAAAACCAATGATCAAAAAAAATCTCATGGATATGTGTTTCTCAACTACAAAGCATGAATGAAAAATCTAATAACATTACTATTATTAACTCATGCAAAGAGTTTTTTGTTAGAGTATGACAATATCCATTATTTGACAAGATTATTTATTTAGTTATTATTGTTAGGGGAATGATGAAGTAACCCAAATTTTTACTAAAGCGATCAACTTTATCTTAACCATCATTGCACCCTTGTAACCCCCATCCTTGTTCCTAGCCGTTCCCCATTCCCAACCGTTACTAAGGATAGGATGGAGGGTTGAGAATGTTGGGAATGGGGTTGGGCAGCTAGGAACATCAAGAATGGGGGCAATGGTTGGAAACAAGGGAACATGTGGGGATAGGGATGGGGTTGAAAGGGTAAATCTAGTGCAAATTTGGGTTGCTAAATTTTTTTTCTTAGTAATAACAATATTTAACTCCTTTTCGAAAGAATAACAGAACACCGTGGAAAGAGCAGAACAACGTGGCAGCACTGAAACATTCGAGCGTTGACCGTTAGAACTAACTCCGCGTATCGCAGGGTGTCAATCACCAGACCTCAAACTCACGACTCCATGAAATCGGGGTAACAGTTACAATCCGGGTATCAACTCAAACACGTCAGACGCCGATACCAGGTCGGGTTGTGTGGGATGGGTTTTACCCAGGTATGTACATAAGGTGACGGACATGTACGCCAGTTCCCTAAGACAAAGATGTGTATAATGGGGGCCCTTACAACTCCTACGCTAGCCATTACGACCCTACCACATCAGCTTCAATTCTAGGGTTTCAGTGTTTGGAGGCAGGACGACTTGGAATTTGAAATGGCTCCTCCCACATAAATGATGCATCCCAAGGCACCTAGTAGCAGTTTTATATTTTGGTGTGGGTCAGTTATTGAGTTTGGGAGGATTAATTGTTGATTGAGAGAGAGAGTGGGAAGCAGGTGCCCCTGGCTCAGTTATGAATGAGAGATCAGTTATGAATGGCGCTCTTGAAATGGAGGCCCCTTTTCAATGAAGGTTGCTTTAAGGAGGGATTTCATTCCATTGAAGGGTTTTAATGGTCAGGGTGTGTAGGAGGATCCTCCACTTTTCAAACGCCCTTACTTTCTTCACTTTCATATTTCGTTATGCCTGTAGTTTGAATAATTAATTGTGATTTAAACAATAATTATAGTTATGGTTTGTTGAAGTAGGTAGACGAGATGGAGATGCTTTATGACAAAGAGTGTTTCAAAATTGGTGTTATGTTACATGAAGGAAATATTTGTAGTTTCTCAAGGTCACTGAAGGGGTCATTACATCCAGAAGTTCATTTTGAAATCCTCATGATCCATTTTTTGACTAATTATTTTAAGGTATTAAGTAAACCTAATAATAACTTCTCAATTTTAACCAATTATTAAGCTTTGAAAGATTTGGCCTCTTGCTTTTTCCTTTAGCTATAAGGCTTATCTACCTCATAATAATATGAAGGAAGAAGAACATGAGAAAAAACTTAAAATGAATAAAAAAAGAGAGATGAAAGAATAGAAAAGACAATCATGTTTTTTTATAAAAATTACTTTTTTTTCATAAAACCTTCATCGACATGGTTTTTGTTTAATACTTGATTGAAAAGGTAAACTAAATCAAAATAAAATGATCGTCTGATTATAATTTTTTCAGTATTACCTGAGATTAAGTAAATCTAACCTACTTTTTTGTGAGATAAATTCTTTTAAAATATTGTAAATTGTTAAATAATGCAACATTTGAACCCTTTTATAAAATATGTTACTGAGAGAAGATTGAATAGGTTTTACAGCAATAGTTATAGGAAATATAACAATGTATAATAAATTGTACTTTT